GCGTAAAATAGCAGCTTAATGCTGCTGTGTTTCGTATGGTGAGTGTAGAGAACCGGAGATCCTTTTTACTGGAAAGGAGGCATTCCATCTTAATCCTCACGGGTGACAACGCATCTGCATTTTGATTCGCAAACGAGGAGAGATGTAGATGTCTATGGGGCTCAACAACCACTTACCATCAGGCGGGCTGTGTGCTCGTTTGTCACCCTATTTAATCAAAAAGTCTTTCTTTAAAGTTGGTGTCTCGACAACTGCCCCTTACCATAACTTAAACTGTTACCTCGATCGCCATTTATATTTACAAAAAATAACGCGCCGTGGGTGAGGCCTGTAGTAGATAGTCGTAATATGTTGAAGATAACAATGATGATGATGATGATAGGACACTTAAATCCTTGCTAATTATTACCTAGTAGATAATATTATACTGGTCTCGTTCAAATAACAAATGCATTTTGAGTTTATTTACAAACACTGTTGCACTACATATGTATACCCCTAATTAACCCATATATGCCCAGAACTATTTTTGAATTCTGATTTTGATTATTTCAAGATATGTTTATGCTGATAAGTCCTTATATCAGTATTGACTAATTTTAGTAAAAAATATTTTTAGTAAGTAGGTATTTTAGGGGTGTTCGAAAACGAAACGACGGGCAAATATCCTACATTCGTTATAGGTAATTAAAACAAAGATGTATAATGAGATTATTTATTACTTATTACTATTTTAAACTAAATTGCAATATGAAATTAAGAATGAAATACAGAGAAACATTTAGAATGTAAATTTACTTTACATTTTTGACAAAAAGTGACTGTAAGGCTTTTGCAATAGGCACATCGCAGTCTACTTGGTGCCCTGCCGATCATGTGCTCAGCGTTATGCTTTCGTACTGATGTAGGTACATTTGTAGATACCCGTTTGCTAGGTCCCGGATGTTGCTTATCATTGCCATATTTTTGAAGTAAGGTTCTGGCAATGCTACGTCTAAATTCCAGCGTATCTATATCTTTGGAGAAATTACGAGCTAGTAGGGTAGCATTGTTGACCGCAACGTCTATCAACCAGAAAAGTAACGGGATATACCATTTTTTGCCCCTAATTGCTATTCGATAGTTACCAATGTTTGCATCTAACCGATCAACCCCTCCCATAAAACGATTGTATTGGTGCACAACGTTGGGTTGTGGTACATTTACTCTTTGCTTTTGAGCAGCTGAGTATCTCCTTGCAGTTTGTATAGGCTCCACGCCGTATTCACTGGATAACAGAGTGACTACACTATTATCGTTCCAGCGCACTGCACAGATGCCGCTGTTTAGATCGAGCCGGCTGTCATGGTAAACTCGCTGTTCCTTCTTACATAATTTTTCATCTTTCAAAGGACACTTGTCAGTGCGATTACTACGTACTGTACCTGTCACTAAAATATTTTTTTCTTTCATTGCTGTTATCAACGGTAATCCTGTGAAGAAGTTGTCGCAGAAAACTGAGAATCTTGTTTCTTTGTAGACATTCTGAATCTCGGTCATCAATTTTTGCACAACATATTGTCCTAACCCGGTACTAAAAGTTTCATAGCGGCCTTGATATGGGTCGGCGTATAAGCAATATCCTAAGGGCAAGGCTGCAATCCATGTTTTGAAGCCAAATCTAATAGGCTTACCTCTGATATGCTGCTTACATCCGTGTCTACCATAGTAAGGTATCATAGACTCGTCTATGCTGATGTTCTTTTCGATTACGGCATATTGCAGAAACTTTTTATTGAGTAAATCAAAAAGTGGGCGGACTTTAGCCATTTTGTCATTAGGGCAAAGGTTGATATTATCGACCACATGGAAATGCCGAAGAATTTCTTCGAATCGGTTTCTTCGCATGGATTTCGCCACTAAGATATTGTGTGTGTCTTCGTTACTTTCCCAATACATCCGACGTCGCGGCAGTGGAGAATATCCGGTCAATATCAAAATGCCGATGAAACAATAAATGTCATTATCAGAAAGGGTAAACCCTGGGTTTCCTTTTTGAACTGCATAAATAACAGAGTGACGAACAATGTGCATGATAACTTCGTGACTAAAAAACAATTCAAAGAAATCAACTGGTTCTGAAGCTTCGGATAAGGTAATTACTGATCTAGGTAATGGTGCAATCCACTCATCATGAAGTTGGGATAAGTCTCGTTTTACCCATTTTCGGACTACCTTAGGCGATCGAGGTGGCGGTGGAGGTGGAAAAGGAGGATTATCTATCAATGACCGGCTCCGCCTACGGTTTGATAAAGACTGTGAGTCAGTCACAGTACGTGACGTAATTGGGCCTAAAGCTTCTTCTTCAGACTCGCTGCCGTCACTGACGTTTTTTCCATGTAGTGTCAGTTCAGCAGGTGCCAAAAGTTGACCACGTGATAAATTTTCAAAACTTACGTTTCTTTCGTCCCCCGAGTCCGAATCTGACACAAGTCCATCACCCGGAGGGTCGATATAAATGTCAGCTGCTGTTGCTTCATCATCCGAAGCTAAATCATTGATAATATCAACGATTTCATTTGTAGTTAACCACGTATTCCACCTAAAACATAAAAACAGATTTAGTAAAAGTCTCACCTGTATATTTGCCCAACGTATCGTTTTCGAAACACGAAAGTTATAAAGACGTTATAGGTATTTATTAAATAGTATTTACTTATTTTAAAAATACGAATAAGATCATTATTTACCTAAAATTACTACAAAATTTTGAAAAGTACAAAGTTTCACTCAATTGAACAAGTACTTACTTCTTTTTGGGAGACGACATGATTTTTGCGCGACGTAAAACAGGACACAACTTGCACTACTGACTATTTAAATCAAGTGTCAATGCTACTCAAAACGCTTCGTTGCAAACAAAAGGTAGTTCCGTAGCCTTGCACTAGATGGCAATTTTTTGCATTTTACTGCGCTAGCAAAGGATTTCCAATGGATTTACGAAAGTACAAAATCTTGTTTCGTTTTCGAATCACGGGGCATATATGGGTTAAGATATTTTCAAGGTGTTCCTCATTTCGTTTAAAAATATTCCGTTATTCACCCATTACAGCGTATAAAGTCCTTATGGTTCCCCCATTGGCTGTTAATTCCACACTTGGCAAGCGGGTTGGCAACCGCATTTTTTTATTATTTTGATATGTTATCAGGAAGATGCTGCTGCCAATTCCCTGTTTCATTTTCCCTTTGACACCTTTGGGACAATATGGGATAGTGGATATTCTTACACCGCTACCACACGGCTTAAAATATTATCTAATTATATTAATTACATAAATACACAGATAATATAATATTTTACAATATTAAGATTAAATTAGGGTAATGTATTAAGATTATAAGTGATGAATAAATCTCCGCTTCCGTTTAAGAGTTTGCAATTCTTGAACTTTTAGAATGAACATGATATTTACTAGATATTCGAGAACCAAGGCTATCGATATAGCTTTGCGTGTTTGTTTACGGAAATGACAATAGGCAGGTCATATCTGACGCATAAGCGAAAAGACGTGTCATGAGTGAAGACAACACTTAGACAAACGTAGTGTGTGACACCCTCTAGCTAGATAGACCGACTATCTGCTGAAAACGGCTGGTGCGCCTTGGGAGAGGCCTATGCATGGAAGTGGATTATCACAGGATGATGATGATGATGATGCTGTCATTCAAATACATGTAATATGATGAAAGCGACTATTCAATAGATCGTTAGTTAGCTAGTCGTTTTCCACTTACGAAAATAGAAAACAAATTTCTCAAACCAAGAGATATATTTCTTATCCTTATGATTAGTAAAGACATGAGTCTAGGTGCTCTCTGAATAATTTTTAACTAAAGTAATACACGGAGACGAGCAAGCAATGTTTTCTTGTTCTTTATTATAATTTATAAGTAAATAATTTGCAGAGTTTATCTATGAAAACCTTTAAAACGAGCTTTATCCTAATTTGAATAAAAATATTTATAACTGTCATCTTCATCATCTTCATTCCAGTCCTTTATAAGTCCACTGCTAAACATAGACCTCTCCCAAGGAATGCCACAAAGCAAGGTCCTGAGCCACCTGCATCCATCGACTTCTACCAGGTCGTCACTCCATCTAGTGGGGGGACGCCCTGCACTTTTGATTTTGCAATTCTTTATACCTGTGCTCATCTATAAATATTAAGTACTATCGCAACACTGTAAAACTAACACATTCAATCGTCTTCATGTGAAAACCCCATACCGGATGGTTGGATGGAAAAATATTGGCTGATAAAATATGACGTCAAAGTATATGTACCGTCACCATTTCTTAAATTTTATTTTATAATTCTTCTCTTTTGTGCAGTCTGTTTATTAAAAAACTTGTTCTTTATTCCAATCGCTTTATATACACTCACACAGACACCTGCGGAGCAACATTGTGAAGGTGTGCGTTGCGAAATTTTATATAAGCACAAGAAATGTAAAGCGAGATCTCATTAGATGGCCGGACAAGTGACCGATACGGACATATTGTTTTAAAAACAAAACAATATTTTTAGTCTGTGCGTGTTCAGTGGCGCGGTTTTTGATTGACGCGCGCAAATATAAATGTGATATATCCTCTGCATGTTTTTATTTATTATTACGTTAATAAATTATGCAACATTGATATACACGAGAATGTGTTTTATTTAAGTAATTGTGTGAGACAGTTTGCTTTTTTGTGCTTAGTAGTGGTAATTGTGTTAAATCGTTGACAATAAAGTATTTTTGTCGGAGGTCACTGAACCATTTGACTTGACACTGAAACCAGCTGATTTTACATAAACGCTGTTTTAATTTAAATAAGATACCGTGATACAGATTGTGACGGAATCTTTTACGAATTGTAGGCAGTGCAATTAAAATCGTATTAGAAACAATTAAGATTGTGTTAACGTCAGTGTAGACTGAATTCTCTTAATTTGTTGTAATAACGTTGAACACAAACTATGAAGGACTTAGTGCAAATATGGAATAAAGTTGCGGGAGGGCAATACTCCACGGTTAATTTAGCAGAACGGGAACTGAGGGAACTAACGAATAATCGATTAAAAAAATCAGACTTCGATGCGTCGACATTCGAGGAGAACTTCTCAGAGTGCGAGGGCTTGAACCATAAATTTAACGATGATTTTGATTTCACGGATAGGAAGGATGCTATAATTAACAGATTGTTCGAAAGGCGGAAGAAGGGACAAGTTGCCAGACAACCAAAATGTAAGTTTTTTTTTTTTAAATAATTAGTACATGTTTTCACGACGTAATGACCTCAGTGGCATAATTATAGTGAAGTATGACTTTTATCACAGGAAATATTTCTACTTGTAAAATCAAAGTTCATTATCGGAACGTTGGTAGCCCTACTTTTCTGATGTGTTAATTTATTGTTTATAAGATGCAATGAAATTTGTTGCATAATTATTTTATATACGTTGCATACTTGACAGCACGTTAAGAAAATCAAGAGTTTTATTATATCATTGTACTTTAAAATATAGATTAACTTTTTTTTTAAAAAAACAAAAACGTCACGTTATTAATTTTAACCTTCGATAACCTATGAAATTAAATGATCACGTTCGAAAATATATTAATAAGGCTTACCGGTTTTAATGAACTTTAACGTTTTGTCGTAATTTAAGTACCGATAATTTGACCCATTACCTTCCGTAATGTTATATTCAAAAATTATATCTTCCGTATACAAAAAGTACAATAGGTAATTGATGACTTCGTATGATTTTTAATAAGTAACGGTTAGAATAGAATAGAATTATTTTTTTATTCAATATTGATTATTACATAATACTTATTGAAAGTCATTTTTTATTTACCACTGGTTCGAAAAATACCTCTGTCCTGGGAAGAACCAGCAAGAAACCCAGTGGGCTTTTTTTCAAACATATTTCACTTAACAATAATTTCGTTTATACAATTTTTAAATGAATTTTAATAAAACCAGCATGGTGGCGATCACCTTATTCCTAGGGGTTATTATCATTCATGTATTCCTTGATATTATAATAACCCTTTTTGTACAGTTTTTCTTTAATAAAACTTTTAAACTTGTTTATTGACAAACTTTGAATATGTTGTAGGATTTTGTTGTAAAAGCGTATACATTGCCCCATAAATGAATTACTGATTCTGTGGAGTCTAGTAACTGGCATTACAAGCTTATGTTTGTTCATAGTGTTTAAAGTAAGCACATCCTTATTCTTATTAAAGCTATTTATGTTTATATGTACATACATAACATTTTCATAAATATATTGCGATGCCAAAGTTAATATGTTTATTTATTAAAATTTTTGTCTGAGGGATTCTTTACAATTTAGGTTATAAATCGCCCGAACGGCTCTCTTTTGCAAAACAAATATAGTTTAAAAAGTGTTATAAAGTTTGTTATTAAATAACCGTTCTTCGGTGCTTAGATTCGAATCTTTACTAGTTTCTACACAAAGGTATAGGATCCGGTTATTTTGATTTGTCCTTCGATCTTTTCGCATGCGCGCTAAATATTCAAGTTATTTGTTCAAAAAGCGTACTATTAAACTTTTAATATAAATTACAAATAAAGAAACAACATGTCATTAAATAACCTTTTATAGATGTTACAATAAAACATTAACAATAACCAATTAACAAAAATCACACATAACATTAATTAAATGAAATAAGTAATTTAATGATTTCTTATATTTACGCGAAGACTGTACATTAAATGAAACTAATTTTTACGGATTTTATCGCGTTTAATTTTACTTTTTTACATTACTATTCAAAAACTGAAGGTAGCTGGGCTAACTATGGCATCGGGACGTCAAACACCTCAGTCCCCCCCACCCCTTGACCATGGGTGCTGTAAAGCACTCGAAACGTCAGGAATTAAAAAGTTAAATTAAATGCGATAAAATCTGTAAAAATAGTTTTATTTAATAAGTAATTTAACTAAAGATGTTATAAGGTTATGAGATACTCTTACGTGGTAGAGCCATGCTGCAGTTATATTAGTAGTATAGTTGTAGCACGAATGGTTCGGCTCGACCGGGGAAGGACCACGCTCTCACAGAATACCAGCGTTAAATAGCAGCTTTACACTGCTGTGTTTCGTATGGTGAGTGTAGAGAACCGGAGACCCGTTTTACTGGAAAAGAGGCATTCCATCTTAGCCCTCACGGGTGACAACGCATCTGCATTTTGATTCGCAAACGAGGATAAATGTCTATGGGTCACAGCAACCACTTACCATCAGGTGGACTGTGTGCTCGTTTGTCATCCTATCCTATAAAATAAAATAAATATTCACCATAAAATTGTACAACAACACAAAATAGCAAAATAGTCCTTTAGTCCGTAGTAGCTAGTACCTTTGGTATGATAATATTGCGGCGCAATAATTTATTCAATCCTGTTAACCTAGGAAGACTTGCGGTCGAAGAGCGAGGTCGATCCGAAAGAAATAATCATTAATCTTTTACACCACTCGTCTGTACAAAGTCTCGAGAAAGGTAGTCTTATAATAAATAAAATAAAATAAAATACTAGCGACTCTCCCCGGTTCCACACGCGTGATTTCTGCATCTCGTCAACAGTGCCACCTGTTAGATATAATCGTGAATCTAAATCATCTAGAAACTCACTAAAACACACAAAAATATTCATCAAAATCGGTCCAGCCACTTAGAAGGAGTTCAGTGTCAAACACACGTACATAAGAATTATATATATATATATATATATATATATATATATATATATATATATATATATATATAATTCTTACGTGAACGGCATAGTCGGGAAGGGTCGCCCTAGGCGAAAGTTTATCGACCAAATTGGCGATATATTAAAAATGGGCCAAATCAAGAGTACCTTTAACCGACGAGCGTGTATGCGTAGGTATATGGATGTGGAAGAAGCGAGAGAGGTGTGTCAGGATCGTGCCAAATGGAAGTCCATAATCTCTGCCTACCCCTCTGGGTGACAGGCGTGAGTGTTTATGTATTATGTATGTATATATATATATATATATATATATATATATATATATATATATATATTATAAAGATACTTGAACACTTTTATTATGTACGGATATTAGAGAAACGATGCGTTCTCCGTTCTACGAACAAATAAAAAAAACCGCACCGGTGATTCAATGTCAAATGATTCAACAGTGTTATATGTATAATTTTAATTCAAATGTAAAGCCCAGACGAGTAATTTGTAACTCTAGGTCTAGGATATTCGTGTATACTGAGAAATAGAAAAAAATCGTGCCTAACATTTTTTTCATTAGGATTTTCTCCTGTATCGTGGAGGCAGTTTATATACATAAATTGCACAAGGACAAACATTCAATACTCGGAATTGAATGTTGAATTATTTGTAGGCTATACAAATACTTGTTCCAGTATTTAGTGGCGGCCCTCAGCGCCGCAACTAAATGCTAACCCACTGCGCCTTCTAACCTTCTTAGTTTAGATCTATAATGTTGTTATTTTCTATAAATTAAATCAAATCACTTATGGTCATGCAATAAACTGCAATAGATCGGTTACAACAAAATTAAAACATTTAAAGAAATGTATAAGGAAACCATTTTAAATATGGTTGTTATAACAAAATGGTTGATTCGTTTTACTTGGCTTTTTTATAGTATAAGTGTGATAAACGAGCACACAGTCCACCTAATGGTAAGTGGTTGTTGTGGCCCATAGACTATCTACATATATCCTCGATTACGAATCAAAATGCCGATGCGTTGCCAACCCTGAGGACTAAGATGGAATGCCTCGTTTCCAGTAAAACTCACCATACAAAACACAGCAGCATTAAGCTGCTATTTTACACTGGTATTCTGTGAGAGCGTAGATCTACCCCGGTCGAGCCGACCCATTCGTGCTACAACTATACTACTAATATAGCTGCAGCATGGCTCTACCACGTATATAGTAATACTCTACCATGTGTATCATGTGTGTCCTCACGACGTTTGCAAGGCAAGTTTAGGCTGCATAGTCACGATTAGTAGTTATATAAGATACTTTATCACTATTATATTATATAGGAGGTTATCTCAATATTGATAGTCAAATCATATTTTTTAAACGTTTCGTTTTCCCTTACGCCTGAATCTACAGTGAATACTGTTCAGAAATCTTATATAGATAATGTATAAAAAAACATATATATATATATATATATATATATATATATATATATATGTATATATATATATATATACAAAAACTTGTTCCGTGTGTCCCGCACGGAACAAGTATTTGTATGGCCTGCAAATAATTGTACCGGGTCTGGATGTTTGTCCCCGTGCAATTTATATTTGTAAACTGCCTCCAAGATACAGGAGAAAATCCTAGTGTGGTGGTAACGTTTTTATAAAATATATGCTAATTTATACTATGCCTTTTTAGGTTAAAATATCGATTTGAATAAATAGTACTGTAATTTCTATTTTTCACTACTGTATTTTATCAGGTTCCGAATTTATATTTGCCTTAAAATTATTTGATAGTAGCGTCCCGCCCTAGCTTCGCCTTGATAAGCTCTGTTAATCTGGGGTTATTGAAATATAAGATAGTTAATGATCATTTATTTTATGAATGTTTGGTTTTTGCAAAAAAAAATCTTCCGAGTTTTTCGGATAAATATAGCCTTGATCCTTTCTGTCGTTGATCTCTATCTATTCTTAATGTTTCATTACAATCGGTTTAGTCATTCCGAGGATTAGCTCGGACAGACAGACAGACAAATGTTTTAAAATGGTTATTTATGTGTTAATAGCCTGCAAATAACCTCCTAAGCTTAAAAGAAGTCAGTTATTTCAATTTTACAGACAGACACTTCAATTTTATTCATATGTATAAATAGTTCATATAAAAAAGTTGGCAAATGCACTCTTAACGGGGAATTACATGTTGAAGATACTCGTAATATATTATAGTAGAATCAAGCATAGCAGAGGCATGATGCAGAAAAAGTCGAACAGCATGGAAGATATACCGCTGCGTAAGTAAGACGAGTTTAGCAAACTGTTGATACATTTTATAAATCATTTATATTCAGACCACACACTGGTATCCATTGCTTTATGCCATTTACGGAATAATACGGGAAATTGCAAATTTACAGACCATTTGAATCGCGAAAGAACAAAGCAAATAATCGTTCATTTTTAACTTTATTTTTTACAA